GGTCTGCGGGGTACACCTCCAATAATAATTTTTGAAATGTATGAGCTAGAAATGGCTTTCCTGCATTTTTCAGCTTATGGGTTGAAGCACGGTACCATTTTCTGATCATTTTTAAAGTCAATTTTGTAAAATTTCAAAGAGGGATGTAGCTAAAGCTGATGTTTGACTAAAGTATCTAAAATATATATTATGAGTATGTAACTAATAATAACATTTACAAATTGTATTAATTCAGTATTCATAATTTATGAAAAATAAGCATATTTTCCATCTGTCATTCATTACTTTCAATTGTACGTCTGTACGTTTGAAGTTTGAATTTTGGAGTAAAGAAAAAATTAGAATTTGGAGAAATGAGAAAAGAGGAAAAATGGGGGGAAAAAGGTGATGATGTTGTTTGAGAAAGCATTGGAAATAAAATTTGAAAGTGAAGATGATGAGAAAGGAGTATTGGGAAAAAAAGAAAGGGCAAAAAGAATAAGAGATTTGGTGAGGGAAAAGGATTGTGTGAAATCAGGAATAGTCACTATTGTCATATTTAAATACACATTCCAAACATCTTTAGAGCACTGAGTATACCACCTTCTAATTGATCAGTCATTATTTTGCTATATTAGACGTCAGTCAGATAACTTGTCATTTTTATTTTTTTATTATTCCAATTTTCATCTTTTCTGCACTGGATGGAACTTTACAAATTTCTGAGAATTACATCCTGTTCATCTACCTTGTTCTCAACATGTCTAGGTGCGCACGTGCGTGGACCAATGCATTGTTGAGCCTTCACTGGTGGTGCTGGGTCGGGGGGGGGCATCCATATATTATTGCAGGTAGGTATGCGCCGCTGGGAGAGACCCCCATTTTCAACCCTCAACTCCTAAACTTCGCTTCGAGTGCATCGCTTTTTATAGAATATCTCCGTTCCCTAGAGCATTAAGTTTAGTTTTATCATGCAGATCGTTTACATTTTTTGCCTGTTCCGGAAGACCCTAGTTTTTCAATATTTTCCGTTCCAGTGCATCGACGGCCCTGTATCTCCTATAACTTTCATAAACGTATTCTCTTGATAATTCTGCATTAAGGAATTATTTTAATATAATGAAAAAACGTAAAGTAAAGAAAAGAAACGTACTAAATTTATCAAGAACATTCATTTTCTAAGTGTGCATGATATCATGTATTATGCTTCTCAGAAATGCACTTAAATAAACAGAAATGGGTAAAAAAGGATACAGAATGCCATATCGTTTGACGCAGCTTATCACACAAAATAAAAAAGTTATCACTCTCACAAACTGACACCACACCAATCACACCGAATCACAGACACAACACGACCACACACACACACACCACACCACACACACACACACGACACACACATACACACACACACACTTACACACAAAATCATGGTGATCCAATATCGTGGGGGGGGGACATTTGATATGATGTCCCCGCCCCTCTGAAAATTCGTGGGGGGGACATGTCCCCCCTGTCCCCCCTGGATTTGCGCCCCTGCTGCCGCATCAATCTACTCGCGAGGCGGCCATGATGCCGAGGCTCGCCGAGGATTGACACTTTGTGTCTTCCAATCACAGTCTACGCCGCACCTCCCTATTATAACTTCTAGGTATAATACCATTAGAGCATGGAATCGCCGATCTCAGGAACTAGGGCATTCTGCTAGGCTAGAACGGTTTCCTACGATAGAGTTTGGCCCAAATACGAAAATAACACGCTATTTAGCGCACTGCGCTAGGTCTTTCTGTTGCATTTTTGCATCTCCGTAAACAGAATAAGCCCCGCTTTAATTCTTCGTTGATGGACATGAATGGGGCGTGACCGACGTTATCGGTTCCTGTACCTACCGTTTTTCGCCAGTCTATTTACTTTTCGTAAATAATGAAATGCCCGGCCGCGCGCGGCTGATGCATTTCACATCGAAGAGGAAGATTTCCCGCATTTTCACTCGCTGTCGGAAGTGAACGAGTGCGTCATTCATTGAACATTTTTTATCAAAATACAGCCAATGTTTACTGCACCCGGCTGAAAGGTGCGATAGGATATGTTTACTAGGCACTTCTAATTTTAACATGTATTTTACGATATATTAAAGAATGATGCAAAAACCCTAACCCTAACCCTAACCCTAACCCTAACCTAACCCTATCCCGTGAAGCACACTGCATGATTATAGCTGGCATTTGACTGTAATGTGATACCAAACTGCATGCAGCGCCCCCTTCCCACACTCAGGATATACTTCAGTAGAATTGAGCCAGAGCGAGAGCGCCATCTGTCGTGGAGTTTGATGTGATACCGCAAGTTGCTGTAGGGAGTTAGTGTGGAATTTAACCAGTTTATCTGGATTTAGTCAATGTTATGTGGAGGAATTGTAGTGTAGAAGATTCAGGTAATTTAAGAGAATCTTGTTTTTGTCTGGTTGCTGGTATTTATGATGCCAATAATTGTATTACAGAATTGATTACCTGCTGAACTGACCGTGTGACCGACCTTTGTGTGACAGTGCACCACATTGGTTTTAGCAGAAAATGTCAGTTACATCCGGTCACAGTAGTAAGTTGATTATTGTATGTTTAACTGAGTAGATGCAGATACATAATATATCTTTGAAGATTATGTAATCTATAAAATGGAAATATGGTATTTCGTGCAATGTTTTTCTTTAATATACGAATGGGTGATTTTTGTTTCTGTTGAGTGTTGTTTAAAGAACCTAAGCTGCTAACCTAAAGCTGTTTTTGTTTATTCATTCTTCACAGAATTGAATGCTGATCAATAAAACGATCTCATACATTAAGACCAGTTGTAATTAACTGCGTGCTTGTTCGTCTTCATCGAGCCTACCACAATTCAATTTACTGTCGCGCCGACCAGAGGTAAGATGGAGGACAAAAAGATGAAGCGACGGACCGGTAAGACAAGGTTCACAAGGCAGAAACGGGTCTTGGAGAATCTACTGCAACAGAAGGGACCTCTGGAGGAACTAATTGATGAGCTAAAGAAACTGGAGTTGGCCTTTGGGGTGCTGCAGGAACGTCATGATGAATACTGTGAGACCATTGATGATATGGAAGCCTATGAAAAGGAGGAAGACTACATACAAATTGTATCGATGAGTTAGCTGCTGTTAAAGCTAAGGTCAGATCGTCATCGAAGTGCTTTCACCAATACCAAATCCCATCAGATCCGTTACCTGAACAGCTCAACCAGATGCCACCGCTATTAACAGGTTCAGTTTCTCCAAAGGCTGAACTGAACGATACGTACAACAGGAACTGTAGTCCTACAAAACTAAGACCAAGGTTCGAGAAACCGAAGGTACCGGTATTCACAGGAGACGTTCGAGAATATCATACATTCAAGGACGACTTCAAACATATGATCGACCCTCACTATGAAGATAGAGATGCAGTCTCCATCCTTCGTGGGAGCTTATCCGGCAAGCCTCTCGAGCTGTTGAAAGGAATCGGGACCGATTATGTTGCATGCTGGGAATAACTTGACTTGTACTATGGTGATCCC